AAAACAAAATAAGCATTTTCTCTACTTTTCATGTTTGAAGGGATAAAACCTATGACTTGTTCTCACATCCAAAACACTTAACCAGAAGGCCATGGTATCTCCTTAGTTTTTAGGAGTTTGTGTCTTTTTTGGTGGTGGTGGGGTGTGTTTCAAGACAGGGTTCCTCTGTGTAGCCCTGGTTGTCTTGAAACTGGCTCTGTAGACCAGGCTGGCCTGGAACTCACAGAGATCCACCTGCCCCTGCCTCCAGAGGGCAGGGATTAGAGGTGTGAGGAGTTTGAATCATTTAACGGCATATACCAAAGTTTCAAAAAGGCACGTGTTAGAGACTGCCTGGTTTAACCATCTCTCAGTCGGCTTATGCTCCAGTTAGCAATGACCGGTAGTGTTTTCACATTGACTTGTTCTTGCAGGAGATAAAATATATCTCTCTCTTGATCACGCCTTAGTTTTCCCAAATTGAAGCTGACGATTTCACCCCCTCAAGTTTCTGCCCATAAATTTTCATGTGATACATCTAAAAATAACCATATGATGCCATGGGATGTGTCTGGGTGTGGTGCCATGTTTTGACATGTGACACCACATCAGGACAACTCACTCAAGCAGTCAACAATAAGGAAATTTATGGGCTGGCAGAACGAATCGCTGTGTAAGGATGCCTGGACCCAATCTGAAGACCTGAGTTCTGTCCCCGGGACTCACGTGGTGGCGGATGGTGAGGACCAGCTCTCTAAAGTTGTCCTCTGACCTCTCCATGTGCCCTTTGGCACATGTGCACTCACACTTACAAGCACATGCTCTCAACATAAATAAATAAGAATGTAATTTAAAAATCTAAGAAAAAAGAAATTTACACCGTGCTGCAGGCCGACACCAGGGTTCTTCCGTAAATTCTAGAAATGTTCATTTGTGATCAAATAATTTATACTCTCGACTGAAAATTATTATCCTGACTTAATCAATTAAGCTTTCAAAATCACATAACCTTAGTTTAACCCTAAATTTTAACTATCATTATAATTGGCCATGCAGTCATTCACTTAACCTGTTTTTATGGCTCATAAGATCAGTGGCCTTAGACAACATGTTTCCTATTAGAAACAGATTTTTAAAGGCATTATTGAGTTAACTATATCCTGTCAAATTTCTCCTCTTATTATTTTTTACATGATTACTTTTCTTTTTTTTCTCTACTCTTCATTCCACTTTCTGCTCTCTCCAAAGCTCCCTCCCCTGATCTGGGTGTTTTGGTTTATATGCCAGATTCTTACGCGCCTGTGAAAAAATGTAATATTGTTTTTATAACGTATGAGTTTCAGATTCTACAGATGGTGTTGCGTGGCAGACCGTGCTTCGCTGTTTTCCTCCTGCACTCGGGGGTTCGGGGCTCAGATGGGCTCTGTAGCTGGAATACTGTGGCTCACAGCTATTGGTGCTACATGGCTACTTATAATATGCACCTCCTCCCGTATGGAACCTAGTGATAGGCATCACCTCCACGTCCTAGGTGGATGAGCGTGCCATAGTTTTTCCAAGAAGTCCAACGTGTGGGGAGACAGGTATTACCAGGCAGCCAGTGGTGGGTTTTAATGTGGAGTTTAACTTGCTTACGGAAGTTCTAAGTGGATATAAAGAGAAGGCATCTGGCTGAAGGAGACAGCCCCCAGCCAAACAGCTGGTTCTCAACAGACTGCTGTAGACTCGTGACCAACCCAGAGCCTAACAGTTACAGTGGATGATGTTATCTACAAAGAATGCTCAGCCTGTGGAGACTCTGAGCTGTGGTCTGCAGAACTCAGGCAACCGGCACAAGGAAGAGCAGATGCTGGGACTTGCAAGGCAGATGAGATGCAGCATGCTGTCTTGCATGGAAATGCTGCATCAGGCGTGGTCAGTAAATGCTTCTCAGTGAGCCTAAGCAAGGAAGGAAGGATTCCATAAGGACACAGCTACACTTCTCTGTTTTCGAGATGTCTGTGGCTGTCTTCCTACTCCAAAGGAAGAGTTATTTGGCATTAACAGAGATGGTACTGACTGCAGGAAATATTTACTGTCTGTCTTTTTTTTTTTTTTAACCAGAAATGCATACTGACCTGTAAACTAGATGAACTTGAGCAATGAGTCAAATGTCCCAGGGATCTTTCATATTTCTTCTTCAGTTTCCAGAGATGTGACTCAGAGGTTAAGAGCACATACTGCTCTTGCAGAAGACGTGAGTTAGTTTCCCAGCATCCATGTCAAGTGGGGCACAACTGTCTGTATCTCCAATGCCCTTGTGTTTCATGAGCACACACAAAGACACACACACACACCCTAAATTAATAAATCTGAAATAATAAAAACAAATTTTTTAAAAATACTTCTCCTTCATACCACAAGCAGGTTACACAACCATGCGATCATCCACCATGCTTGATAAGCATATATTTAACAAGTCCATAAAAATGCTCTGACTTCCTTCATTTCTCTTGAATGGATCAATTTCTTAATATAGGTCTAGTGGAGCCTGATTTGCTTTTGTGGAAAACATGATTTTTCCGTTTGTTTGCTTGTTCATGCCTGTGTGGATGATTAAAGTCTCTGGCTTTATATATTTGAGTTCTTCTGACATGATTGCCCACAGTTGGTGAGAAGCATTAATGGATTTAAAGAGTGCATTTGATAAGTGAGTGAGGCCTCTGTTAGAGCTGCGGGAAAGCAGGTATCTGTCGGCTCTCACAGAGGCAGCTGCTGGGCTGAGCTGTCTCTGGTTTTCTTTCACATTTTTTTTTTTTTTTTTTTTTTTGAGACAGGGTTTCTCTGTGTAGCTTTGATGCCTTTCCTGGATCTCACTCTGTAGACCAGGCTGGCCTGGAACTCACAGAGATTTGCCTGCCTCTGCCTCCCCGGTGCTGGGATTAAAGGTGTGCACCACCAACTCTCAACCTTCTTTTACACTCTTTAAAGGTGCTTTTCTTTGTAGGCCTTGGCTTCTGGCTTCCTGCGACTTTCTGGAGGAAAGTAATCTGCTTCAAAAAGGTTGGCAATGTAATCTCAGCACACTCGGGAGGGAGGCAGAGGCAGGCTGATCTCTGTGGGTTTGAGGCCAGCCTGATCTACAGAGTTTCAGGACAGCCAGGGCAGAGAAACCCTATCTCGGAAAAACAAAAACAAAAAAGAAGTTTGGCAACTGATAACTCACCAGGTTAATGTGGTTGCCAAGCAAGCCCGATGACCTGAGAGCAGTCCTGAGAACACAGGTAGAAGAAGATGGATGGTGCGAGACACAATTGCAATCCCAGCATTCCGACGTCAAGATGGGAGGCCAGGGTGGCAAAATCACCCGACTTTGGTGCATACCAGAAACAACCAGAGAGACCCTCCCTCCCTCCCTCCCTCCCTCCCTCCCTCAGTGAAGGTGGGGGGAGAGAGCCAACTCCTGAGAGCTGTCCTCTGGTGTCCACATGTGCGCCACTTTTGGGTTTAATAAAGAGCGTGTTAAAATAAGAATCTGAGCGTGGTGGCAGATGCCTTTTGTTAGAATTCCTAGCCACGACCTGCCTGGACTGAGTCTACCAGGTTGATCTCATTCCTCGGGGGAGGATTTGCCCTGGAGGAGGTGGGAATGGGGGGTGGGCTGGGGGTAAGGGGAGAGGGTGGGAGGGGAGAGAATAGGGGAACCCGTGGCTGATATGTAGAACTGAATGGTATTGTTAAATAAATAAATAAATAAATAAATAAATAAATAAATAAATAAATAAAAAGAATTCCTAGCCACTCCCCCAGCTACATGACCTCGAGTGCGCTGGTGAGATCCTTAGTCATCCCAGGACCTTACATCCTAAGTAATTTGCACGCAGCGTGATCACGTTAATCTATGTGCATGCGCGGTGTAGCTATGTAAGCCCATATGCGCATGTGCGGGGATTGGGGAGACCTATAAAGCGGGTTCCACGTATCCCTCCTCTCTTCTTCCTGTGCACATCCCTTCTGTCCGCTTCCCTTATAAACTCTTATAGTGGGTTTTGTTGTACCTCGTGGCTTTTCTTGCACGGTAAACAGCGCCACTTAATAAATACACCTTTAATCCCAGCACTTGGGAGGTAGAGGCAGATGGACCTCTCAGTTCCAGGCCAGCTTGGTTTACAGAGTGAGTTCTAGGACAGTTAGGGCTATACAGAGAAAGAAACCCTGTCTTGAAAAAACAAAACAAAGCAAAACTACAACAAAAAGATACATATATGCTATGAAGTAGATGTTCTTGGTGCCTGGTTGGAATCTCTCCTAAGAGCTCTGACTGCAATAAAATCCAGAGGCCTGGATTCCATCATATTGATGGTGAAGACTTCGAGATTGCTGTCTTCTTTGATCACTCTGTAGCCTGAATATTTGAGACAAGTGTTATGATATTGCACCCCCCACCCCACACCCCGTCACTGGCTGGACCAGGGTGTCCCACATATGAGGGGACACATGCTGGGCAGATGTGGCAGCAGGTGGAGGCACGTCATTCACAGACCAGGCGTTGCATTTGTGCAAAAATAAGTTTATTATAATAGAGAGATGAAGAGAAAGATAGGGAAAGACAGAAAGAAGAGAGAGGGAGAGAGGGAGGGGGGCCAAGGGTGCACACCTTGTGGGAATGGAGAGAAAAAGAGCAGAAGAGAGAGAAGAAGGGGGGTTCCTTAAATCAGGCTTTTACGTCAGGAATGAGGGAGGTCCCAAGGGGTGGGTTCCCAAGGGGCAGGTCAGAATGATAACAACGGGGTCTCTCGCTGAACCTGAACTTCTCCGATTTTGCTTTACTGCAGGCTGGCAAGCTACTAGGATCCCCTTGTCTCTGCTTCCCAGATCTGAGGCTGCAGGTGGGTGCCACCATACCAGCCTTTTTTTTTTTTTTTTTTTTTAACTTAGGTGTTAGAGTCCAAACTCAGGTCCTCATGCATTCATAGGAAGTGCTCTTACCCACCGAGCTATCTCCTTACCCCTAAAATCAAGACTTACACACACACACACACACACACACACACACACACACACACACACACACACCAAAACTCCTTTAGGTGATTATAATATGGAGGCTGGCTTGAAAGACAGGGAAAATTATGGGGACACAGGAAAGGAAGGAAATCCCTTACTCTGGGGTCTGGCTAAAGTTGCTCGCTAGCTGAGAGGCGAGAAGTGCATCACAATTACATTGGTTTATAGACTGACTATATCCCAACAATATTCCTTTTATATCGAGATGTTTCAAATAAGAACGTTAAACTAGTAATGAACCACGTTTAAGGTTGAAGTGTAGATGGCCTTCAGTTCCTTTCCCAAATGTAGACCTTCAGTTTTGGGGAATCTCCCAAACAAGACTATAAACTTTGTCCACAAGGAAAGCATGTCTTAGTTCCCTGTGTTAGGCATCTTCAGGTGACACAGGTTTACCTTATCAGCTCTGAGGATATCTAGTGCACCTCAGAGACCAACTTATGAGACCACTGAAGCTCCTTAGCAACCTTTTGAGGTGTGACGTCAGAAGACAACAAAGTCATACGTTGTAAGGATGCTTTAGGGCAATCTCTTTCTAGAAGGCCACGCCTACACTTGGGTGTGTCCTATCCTCCCCTGAGCACCCATCTCTTTTTTTTAACTCTGTGCTTAACACCTTAACACCTTCCCTCCTACTGAACTGCAAATCTACTTCATATTGGCGTGTCCTGGAAGTCCCCCTGTATCCTCCTCCTGTAATGAGGCTCATACGAAGCTTATTCTGGTGGGATGGTGCTCCAGCCACGGGGACTGCTTGAGCCTGGGGACTCAAGCTGGCAACTTATCAAACAAGCTCAGACAGATGGGCCAAATTCCAACTCCAGAGCGAACCTCTCAATAGAGTAGCACAGCGTGAAGGAATTTTACAATATGATCCATACCCCTAGAGACGTTTGAATCTCTGTAAGACTGGCCCTAGTGATCTGCATTTCCACAACCAGTTTGTGTGTGTGTGCAAATGAGGCAGCCTATCTGAAATGCTTTTACCTCTCAGCTGTAAAGATACATGCAGGATTTTCCAGTCTTGGAGAGGCAGAAACGTAGGTAGCCCCAAAGCATAAGGCAACGAGTTCTATGCTATCCCAGACAGGAATAGATACAAGTTTGGAGGCCTGGGGGAGACATTGGCAGGTATCCTGCTCTGGGAGCTGTTGCAAACCAGAGCCACGAAAGGGATTAAAGTGAATGGCCAGCTATATGGGGGAGGGGCCTCAGACCACACTACCATTCCATCTTACAGAGTTACCTAAATCAGTTTAGGAATTAGAAATCGTACGTTGCCAGCAGTGGCCGTTTGTCCGGGGTATAGTGAGGACAGATTTACACTGAAAGGCACAGGAGAGTCGGAGAGTTGTTGGTTTTCTACAGAAATTTGGAGCGGATAAAGGACATGGGCAAAGGCAGGGGTGAAATCCAGGCACCAGCCACCAGCCACCTGGTGACGAAACAGGCGTGTGTGTGTGTGTGTGTGTGTGTGTGTGTGTGTGTGTGTGTGTGTGTGTGTGTGTTGGGAGGTGGGGGTCTCTCTGCCCCTACAAATCCCAGCTCTTAAGATCACAGGGCCAGTGAAGGTGTTCAGAGGGCTAGGCCATAGGCCGGTGGAGAACCCCAGGAATTCTTGGCCAATCTCAGCCAGTGGAAAGCTCTTGGAATCTTTGATTGCGTGGGTCCCAAGACAGACAGAAGGAAGTTCCAGGTCTAACCAGGGCACCTCTGCGTTAAGTCCACGGTTACCTTGTGCCCCGAATTTTGCTCTGTTGGATACGTGTTCTGGTTGAATGCACCACGACCTCCCACTGAGAAGGTCAGGCTGTGTCAGAGTGAGACAGTTAAGTTGAGAGAGAAAGGGAAGAAATGGAAGTGAAAAGAAAAGACTGCCCCGGGAGAAACTGGGTGCCCTGCCGAGAGCATATGGGAGCCTGGAGGTTTGTCCGTGGGTGGCCTTCAGACGCTTGTGGGTCAGATGGCCTATCCTGAGGTCTTGGGCACCATTATGTTAGATTATTTAAGAGCAGCTACAGAGAGACTAAAGGCACAAAAAAGGAGAGTCTTGGCCTGACCTTAGGAAGGACCATGTTTACTGACGCTAAGTTGTGTGTGTGTGTGGGGGGGAACTTCCATCATCCATGGGTGTGGATGGCCAAAAAGCTTACAGAAGATGGTATGCAGCCTCTTATAGAGGCGGAAATGACTTCCTGGTCCGCAGGGGAAGCTGGGAAGTGTAGTCTTTCAGCAGGAAACTATCAGACGCTATCATTTCATTCTTTCTAAACAGCAGTAAGCTACAGATGTTGCCATGGTTTTAGACAGTGACTATGACTAGGCCTTTGATAATTTACCCATAGCAGTTGATTTCCTTTGGCCTGCTTATGTTGCTGTTGGGTACTTAGGCCTAGAAACCATAGCCTCAGTTTCCCTGTATTTCAAAGCAACCAGGAAACTGAAATTAGTGAAGGAAATAATAGATTTATTTAGTTTGGCCAAATAGTGGGTAGAGGATGACTGTCTAGTTTCCTTACCTCCATGCCTGTGGCCATCTTCCAACTTATAGAAGACTTTGAGAAAAGCTAGCCATATGGAAATGTAGCTGTGATACAGGCCAGCCATCCTTTGCTCGAGGGAGGGAAGGGGGTCTGAGTTCCAGGTTGTCTCCATTCTCTTATTACAGAACAGATGGGTTTTGTTATTGTTGTCAAGTCCTGGCCAAGAAAAGTGTTATCCTGAAGAGCTCCCATTTTAAAAAAAATATTTCATTCATTCATTCGTGTGTGTGTGTGTGTGTGTGTGTGTGTGTGTGTGTGTGTGTATGAAAACACCCATTGAAGACAGAAGGAGTCATTGGAGCCCTTGGAACTGGAGTTACATGCATTCATAAGCCACCCAATGTGGGTGCTGGGATCCAAACTCTGGTCCTCTGAGGGAGCAGTAAGTGATCCTAAAAGCTGAGCTGTCTTCCCAGCCCCAGGTTCCAGGTTTTTGAAAGAAGAAAGAGTCCAAGGGTTTTGCCTGGGGTAGGATCCTCACCTATTCCAGACCTGGCTGAGTTCTTTGTCCCCAGGTCCATTTCTTCCATAGGTATGGGGTGGAAGCCTTTAGTATCTTGTCTTTAGAGGTCAGCTCAGCTCTGACTCTTGCATACCTGTGAAGCAATCAAGTCCTTCAAGGAGAACGGTGAGAGTCTGGTAGCAGAAGGGAAGGACACACATGTGTCATTGTAAGAACATCTCCTCTTTGCCTGGAGCTTCCGCATAAGCTCACAGCCCATACTAAACAACACCTTCATATTGAACAGTCAAATCCCTTTAGCTAAGTTTGATACCTGATTGGGAGCCATCAATGTATTCAAAATAATTCCGCCTCGTGTTTTCAGAAATGTGTTGGTGATAGTTGGCATCCGTCTCGTATACAAGACTTCCAGACAAAGGAGATTTCTCATTCCAATACTCGCGGGGCTAGAAAAGCACAAACTTCTCCCAAGGCTGTGCTTCTCCCAAGGAAAGCTCTTGCTAGAATCTTCAGTATAGTTACCTCAAAGGGAGACTTTTAGAAAATGTAAGTAAGCTTGACAGATAATGGCAAGACATAGTTCAGAACTATAAATTTTACCAAAGGTTACGCTGTATATTTTAACGCAAAGATGGATAACAACATTTAAGACTCACACAGGCGAAGCAGGCGTGCCGATGGATCTGACTCCAAAGCTCATCTTTCACGACGGCGTCTGAAATCTGAAGCACAACATGCTACTCTAAGATAAGGAATGCATTAGCATGTAAAGAGTTCTTCCGTGCAACAGAAATCGATCGCTTCATTTAATATCTGAGAAGAAAACAAAAATTGTTTTAGTCATTAAATATGGGAGAGCCTGATGGATGGAAACAACCTTTTCAAAGAATCAGAGACGCCTTTGAAATATAGCAAAGGAGGTAACGAGAAAGGAAGGATCGCGCTGGGCTCACTTTCTCTGAAACTGGAAATTCACTGCTACTGAGTGGGAACAAGGCGTGACTTGACTTGGTCTGGCCCTTAACCAGCATCTTCAGAAGCACCGATTATAAGCAGTTTGGTTATTTTGTCTATTTTTTGAAGCACCTCCACCTTTCATTAATTCAAATTCAATAAATGAAACACTCCCTCCCCCCCCCCCCCCCCCCCCGCGACCCCTCCAGATGTCTAGCGAAATGAGTCAACATTTTGCCCATTAAAGCTACCTGATTGTAAAGTGTCTGGTTCCCAAGCTGACAAAAATAAACAAATGCCCTGAATTAGAAAAAGAGGCTCAGAGACAAAATTAGCAGGCTGTTTGTATGAATCCTATGTGCCTGGGAAACAGGTGAGAAGGACCCCTCAGTCTTCGCTTGCAGCAGCTCCGGGGGAAAGCGCTGCAGCTGCGAACGCGGTGATTAATTAGAGGTGTGCTTTCCCACATCAAAACAACCCGAACAATCCGTCCCAGGTGCTGCATGAATGATGGGAAGAATTGTGTGCCCGTCCCCCGAGACGCGAGTGCAGAATCCGAAGCATAGCTTTTTGTTAGAACTCGGCAATCTTAAAGTAAAACAGATGGATGGGGGAGCAACGCGCCATGAAAGGAAGTCCACCGTGCAATCGGGGGGTAGAGCGACTTCCCTCTAGCTGCCGTCATTTACCTCAGATACGTAAGTAAGCCTTGAATAGCACACGGCGCTCTGAATTGCAGGGTTAGGATGGAAAGCTTGCTTTTGAAATGTATTGTACTTCAAACAAAAAGATCTGGGTACAGCGGGTTTCCAAATTTTAGTGTGCTTAAAAGGCCCCTGGAGTGCGTATTAAGGGGGGTAAATTGCTGGGCCACAGTCCCTTGCGATTCTGACTCAGAGCCCAGCATTATTATCTTGAAGAGTGCCCCCAAATGACCCTGACTCTGTTGATTTGGGATTATGTTAAAAGCAAAGTTAAGAATCATTGCTTCGGTGCTCTTTCTTGGGGCGGGGGTGGGGGGGAGAGGCTGCCTGCTAGACAGTTGTAGACTTGTTAATTTCATTTACCTCTTAGTGTGTATTTCCTAATCTGTCCTGTGCCAGGCTAGGGGGCTAAAATAATATTCAAAGCAGCCAGCTGATAATGAGGTTCAGGCAGCGGATGATCTCAGGGAGAGAGGGAGCGGCGGATGTTCATCCCGGCGGCGGCGTCACACAAATAATGGTGAAATCACACCTTTGGTTAAGTTCTATTACAAGTGGCGTAGAGTGTTGCAGACGTGGGAGAATCAGTGCGGCGGGATGCATCTCATTAGCTCTGCAAGGGTAAACAGAACCCGCTTTTAGGTTTAAGTTCTGAACGCTTTTGTCTCCCGTCTCGCTCCTAGGATCCTGTATTTGTCGGCGTGCTACCCTGCCCCTGCTGTGTGGCACGAAGATGCTGGAAATGGATGGCATTTACGTTCTGCATGTCCATGCTGAGATGCCATGGAGGGCTCTCCATCCCAGGCTGCAAACCTGAAATCTTTTCTTGAAGATGAATCACACAATCAGATGAAAGAACTCCGTGTTAGAATCCACAAGGCCTCCAGCAAAACACTCACAGGTCTTGATCTAGAAGTGTCGTCCACACGGAGAACTGGTGCAAGACCTGGGTCCCAAGGACTTCAAAAATGTCTTGCTAAATCCTCCCTAGTCAGGATGCCCAGTGTTTTTATATCAGCCACAGATTCAAACTGTAGGGGAAAAAAAAAAGAAGAGGTAGATAACAGAAGACAATATCTGAAGCCTAAACATGGTTGTAACCGTATTAAAAATTCAAAAGGTCACTGTGCTAGACTAGTTCATTAGCAAGCCATCACTTTGAAAATGAACTACACAAAAACAACTAAGAATTGAAAGAACTTGTGGCCTAGATACTGGTGACCTAAAAACTTATGTCTAATGTTTTCTCGGCATTCCCGGACGGAGTGCTGGGATTGCATTGGAAAGCAGGAAGCAGGCAGCCCACCCTCAGGGAGCTCACAGTCTCTTGCAGACACAGCCAGGGACATTTCTTACCTGCCAAGCACCCTTAAAATTGGGAAACTGGGAACAAATCAGATTTCAGTGTCCATTCTAGGAGACAATGCCTCTTAGTCCAGAGATAATAACTGATAGAAAGCACTGGGGCCTGGAAGCCAGAGACCCGATGTCTAATCCCACCTCTGCCACTTGTGGCAGGTAGTGTAACACCTGAACAGTGTGTGGCCTGTTTGATCAGCAGATCCTTCCGCTGTGACGCCAGTACTTGGCTTGTGTAGTGTGGGTCTGTGCAGTAATTCCTCTGTGCCTTATATGTTTTGTCCTAGGATGTCGACTCACCTCATCCCCACTGAAGAAGAACCCACACTGACCATCCCATTTCACTTGGTATTTGTGTAGGAAAGAGAAAAGAGGATCCCATCTCATACTTATATGTTATCTAAGCTGCCCACCTGTTCTATATTTATCTTTCTGCTCTCTGGTCCCTTGCCAGCTTTGACTTGTGAATTTCCTCAGCTCTTTGGTACAAGTTCTGTGTCGCCTGCTCGATACCATAATCTGAGGTCCTCCAGGTTTGCTGATCTACATCCTCCCAGTGGCACATTTTAGAATCTTTAAGAGGGGGGGGGGGGGGGGGGGAAGAGGCAGATGTGAAGCTCTCTTATTTGCTGCTCAATAATGGTACTCTGCATTTAGGAAACTGTTTTAGTTTGAAAAGTACAAATCAATTTGTAATTACTACTATATACTATTTAAAATACAGATGAGCTGGGGTGGAGAGATGGCTCAGTGGTTAAGAACTCATATGGCTCTTCCAGAGGACCCACATTCAATTCCCAGCATCCCTATCAGTCAACTGACAAATCCCTGTAACTTCAGGTCCTGGTGATCTCATGCCCTCTTCTGGCCTCTTCAGGTACCTACAGTCCCATGCACATACCCACAAATGAACACACACGTAATTTAAAGTAAAATAAAATCTTTTTTTAAAAAAAAGAAAGAACAGGGACACTTGTTTTATCAAAAGATTTCAGCATACAAATATTAAAAGATTCAAAGTCCAATCATTAGCTTGTTCCAGAAGAAAAATTAAAATTCTTGTTCAACTTCTGAAGATGGGCAGGCACAGGGGATGGCATACTTATCAATTAAAAATAAAATTTGTGGTAATTTTATTTAAAGGTGTGTGTTACCACTGCCTAATCTCTATGTTTGATATTGTGGCTGTTCTGTTCTCTGACCCCCAGATAAGTTTATTAGAGTGAACAATATTTTGGGGAACACAATACCACCACACTTCCCTCCCTCTTTCCGGTTGTTTTATTTATTTATGTCATAATTTATTTGATATAAAATACAACTTATTTTATTTCTTAAAGTGACAGCCCAGATCTCTAATTTAAGCAGTTAATAAAGTGATTTACTATTTTGGAGGGAGCAGTTATCATCTTTTCACCTAAAAAGTAAGTCTAAGTTGATCACCATGTTTATCTAGTGAACGTTCTGTTTATAAAGATCTCTATGATGTAGTCCTTGTGCCATCAGTACATTGGGTATCAAATCTATTGTGAAAATCTCATTACACTCATCTCCATGTTGAAGAACCAAGTGTTTTCAATCATCTTATTATTTGATTGTTTGAGTGGTTCACAATCCATGTACTTGGTGAAGCAAACGTAAATTAGAAAGAGGAGGAGGAGGGGGAGAAGGGGGAGAATGTGGGAAAGAGGGAGGAAAGTGTGGTGGTATTGTGTTCCCCAAAATATTGTGCACTCTAATAAAGTTATCTGGGATGTCAGAGAACAAAACAGCCACAATATCAAACATAGAGGTTAGGCAGTGGTAACACACACCTTTAATCCTAGCATTCCAGAGGCAGAAATCCACCTGGATCTCTGTGAGTTCAAAGCCACACTGGAAACAGCCAGGCATGGTGACTCAAGCCTTTAATCCCATGAAGTGAGCCTTTAATCCCAGGAAGTGATGGCAGAAAGCAGAAAGGTATTTAAGGCGTGAAAACCAGGAACTAGCCTGGTTAAGCTTTTAGGCTTTTGAGCAACAGTTCAGCTGAGATTCATTCCAGATGAGGACACAGAGGCTTCCAGTCTGAGGAAACAGGATCAGCTGAGGAATTGGCAAGGTGAGGTGGCTGTGGCTTGTTCTGTTTCTCTGATCATATCAGTGTTCACCCCAATACCTGGCCCTGAGTTTTGTTTTTTTTTTATTAATAAGACCTTCTAAGATTTGTGCTACAGGGAAGGAGGGGCGGACAAGACAGAGGACCAGAGGGAAAACAGTTTAACCTTCATCCCCAAGATAGTTTTTATTTCTTTTGTTATTTCTTCACTTATTATTTTTAAAATTTTTTAATTTAATTTTTTTTTTTTTTGAGACAGGGTGTCTCTTTGTAGCTCTGGCTGGAATTTAGTATATAGACCAGGCTGACCTTGAACTCACAGAGATCCACCAGTCTGTGCTGGAATTAGAGGCAAGTGCATACACCACAACGCCCAGCCTTAAGACAGTTTTTAAAGGTCCCTGGTTAGTAATGAATTTTAAGATCTTCTTTAAAAATAACAACAACAAAAAAGTCATCTCTGATTTGATTCCCCTCCAGGATAGATTTTAAATAATAAACATGTGCAACATGTGAAGGGTGGGTTTTCTGATTTTATATATGTCAGAATCTTTAACGGATTTATTTCTCCAAGGTTGGTGTATGAGCTCCAAACAGTCATTCCTTGGAGGTTCCTGTGCAGCAGTTAGTTTCATGAAATTTACACCCGAGAGGCCCTATTGCACCCCCACACCTGTGGAGGTATAGTTCCCATGCAAAGAAACCTCTGGTCACTGTTATTAGCTACTGAAAAACCCTGTGTTTAAATGCCTTGTTCTCCTGACCTTACAAGAATTTTGTTCCCCAAAATGCTCTCTCACATAAGTTTTGCAACTGGCTTTAAATGTTTTGTGTTGAGAAAGTCCGATGTTGAAATATTAGAACACTATGCATTACTTTAATCTACAGATTAACTTTATTCTATAGGAAGATAATTCGTTATCTTTGCATAGGTAATGCCACACTTTTTCTTGTTAATACTATAGGACTATAATAATATAGTAAGAGTCTTCATTAAAGCTCAAATGTGGGCCACTAGATTGCTGGAAACAACTAGTCGGATACAGAGATCGTACCGGAGAGCTCTACAAGCATCATCATCATCATCAATATAGTACCTCAGGTAATCTTTATGCCAACAAAATTAAGAAGGCATTAATTAGTATTATCTCCAATTCACAGATGAGAAAAGAGACACAGACAAGACGGGCTAGTAAATGAGCAACAGAACTTGCCCGTGATGGCCTGTCTGTAAATCATATTCCTCATCACATGGCATGGCTTCTCTGGCTACTTGGTAATTTACAGGAAAAATAACTAAAGTCATCGCACGTTTTAAAATTCTCTAAAGTGAGGCTGGATATGGCTGAGCAGTTAAAAGTGATTGTAGAGCAATCGTGAAGACTAGAGTTTGGATCCCAGCATCCATATAGTAAGCCAATGTCCCTGCCATGACCTGTACCACCAGCTCTGAGGTGTGTATGGAGAAAGGACTCATGGGGGTGGGGTGGGGGGAGGCCTTCCTGGCTTCCACTGTAACTCAGTGTCAGCCCCAGATTCCGGGAGAGACCCTGCCTCAAAGGAGTAGGCAGAGAGTGATAGAGGAGAACACTTAACACACTCCTCTGGCCTCCACGTGTCTGCACACAGGCAAGTACCACAAATGGGGGGCACAGCTGCACACAACACACAGGCACATCCATTCACACACACACACACACACACACAAATGAGAGAAAAGTGTTCTAAAGGAATATAGTTCAGCAGGTGAATCAGGTGTACTCTGCATTTCTGCTTTTTGTTTTCTCTGCGTTACAACTTGGGCTTTTCAGCCCAGACAGTCAAGTTCACATACTTAACATCAAGCCAGTAATGTAGATGCCACAACCTTTAGAGAGGGGCAGTGCCCGACCACGAAGTTTCCCAGACTGAGAGCATCACAGCAAACGGCGCCTGTTCTGTGCTGTAGTTGTTAACACTGGGCATCGCCTGGGCATCATTGTGTCTCCTACTCAGTAGGAAAGTATAAAGGTGTTAGTGAGGATGATGAGTCTCTTGAATTTCTACTTCTTAGAAAATATATTTTCTTAAAGGCTAATGACTTGGCTCCTAGACAATGTTCAAAACAAATGTATGCCTGACTTTATAAGAATAAACTACTATCCAGGCTCGCTGAAGAGGCCTGCTTTCAATTCACACCCATGTTCCTGTTGTCTGGAACACACCATGTTCATGTTGTCTGGAAGTGGGTTTCAGTATAATAGAACACACACTAAGGCCAAATCTGTTTCCGGCATTACTAAAAGCAAATGACATGTCTGTGAAATGCATGCTAGCTGAATTTTTTTAAGTGGGTCAGCTATAGACTCAGTGTGGCACTTATATCTGGTTATGTGTCACAGTGACTTGGTGATTATGTATCACTGTCCTCTGCTCCCTCTTTCTTACTGACTTATTGTTTGAAACAGAAGGATAAAGGACCCAGAAGATAATCAATGGATTATGTCTATTGGGTTGGGAGGAACTGAGAGAGCATTAGGAATGAAAAAAGAAGAAGTAATGGAAGTAATATTAGCAAGCATAGAAAACTAAAGCTGCGATGATGCATCTCTTCTCCTCACCCTAGATTATTACTTGGACTAAAGTACATGGAGAAGAGTCTTCAGCCAGAATCCCCCGACTTTCTCCTGTGTGCCATTGTGACTTAATAAAAATTGCCTCTAATCAGATTCTTGTAGCCAGAATTTTTCCTGGTCGGGACAAAGCTCTCCCATTTGCATCCTGAAGCTGCTTAGTCCCAAGTAAACACACCAAGGTTTATATTATTTATAACTGCTCAGCCATTAGCTCAGGCTTATTACTGACTAGGTCTTACACTTAAATTAACCCGTAATTCTTATCTATGTTTAGCCATATGGCCTGCTACCTTTTCTCAGTTCTGCCTTCACATTTTGCTTCCCCTGTGTCTGGCTGGCGACTCCTCCCTCTTTCTTCCTTTCAGAATTCTCCTAGTCCGGTTGCCCAGCCTATACTTCCTGCTTGGCTACTGGCCAATTAGCACTTTATTGATTGTATCAGTGTACAAGAGCATTATCCCACAGCAGATTCTGATACCACATCAGGGCCCCAAAACACTGTAAATGGAAGAGGGAGCCTTAGGCCAAAGTGTGAGTCATGAGCCCAGGGAAATATAGATATACCAGGGAGTTTAAGTCCAAGCAATCACTTAGTAGCCAGATCATCTGTGGAATCTTAAGAAACAAGGAAACTAAGCAGGAAAACAGAGCCAAGCTACTATGACAAGGAAAATCCTTGGCAATGGTACCTAACCTAGTCTTCTTAGCGCCGCAAGGGGCAGGCACTTTGGAGGGAGTGGGTAGTGTGGGTCAGTAGAGAGCCAAATAGAACACAGTGCTGTGTGGCTGATGCTGATGGAGCCTTGCACAGTAATGACACTATGTATAGGAGGTATGTGTATATATGTAATATAATCTGCTTATGTAATTTTATTGTGTACATACATATCTTATTAGGCTGTATATTCTTATAAAATATAACGGGGGTAGTATATATGTTATAAATTATTATTTAAGGTAGATACAGTGATTATAAAGAGCAATGAGGGTAGTATGCAGGTGCTTTTTACCAGCAAAAACCTCTAGTACAGAGCAGCCCAGCCCAGAGCATTTGAGAGCAGGAAGCAACAGGAGGTGGTACAAAGAATATAAGAGAGGGAACTGTGAGTCCAAATGTAGGTCCTGACTTTGCTATAGTCCAGTGACTTTGTTTATAGTCCAGTGACCTTCGTTTCTGGACCTTCAGCCTCCTTCCTGCAGGATTAAGCAGGGTGGCTAAGACAGGCTACAAGGTTTTCTCTAGTTCAAAGAGGGATGGCACTTAGATGAGCAAAAAAGGTGGCCCTGCCCACCTGCAGCTCAATTTTCTTACCATGCGACAGAGTGTATATGTATGCATGCATGTATGTATATATACATATATATTTATGCACACATGAATGTATATATGCACACTTGCATACATGCATATATGTATAATGTATATATGCATATACACCTATACATGTATATGAATATGTGTATGTATATATATATCAACAGTTCTAGCATTTCTTTTTTTAAATTTAATTTTATTTTATTTTACAATATAATTTAGTTCTACATATCAGCCACGGATTCCCTTGTTCTCCCCCCCTCCCGCCTCCTTCCCCTTCCCCCCAACCTACCCCCCATTCCCACCTTCTCCAGGGCAAAGCCTCCCCTGAGGACTGAGATCAACCTGGTAGACTCAGTCCAGGCAGGTCCAGTCCCCTCCTCCCAAACTGAGCCAAGCGTCCCTGCATAAGCCCCAGGTTTCAAACAGCCAACTCATGCACTGAACACAGGACCCGGTCCCACTGCCTGGATGCCTCCCAAACAGATCAAGCCAATCAACTGTCTCACCTATTCAGAGGGCCTGATTCAATTGGGGGCCCCTCAGCCATTGGTTCATGGTTCATGTGTTTCCATTCGTTTGGCTATTTGTCCCTGTGCTTTATCCAACCTTGGTCTCAACAATTCTCGCTCATATAAACCCTCCTCTTTCTCGCCAATTGGACTCCCGGAACTCCACTGGGGGTCTGGCCCTGGATCTCTGCATCCGGTTCCCTCAGTCATTGGATGGGGTTTAAACTCGAGTTCTTTCTGAATCTTAAAGCAAACTCTTAGCTGTGAGCCTCTGTAAAGGAGAAACAGAAGAGGACATGAGTCTGAGGGAGGCCATATGAGAGGGCACCAGAATAGCTGGATGGTGGGTGTTGCCAGAAGTAAGTTTGGGCCACGAAGGAAGGGATCACCAGTCTGACTGAGGTGTCTGGACAAGGCAAACTTTTCTCTTGATCAAGAGGGTGTGCTTGGAAGGGTGAGCACACGGAGACAGGAAGAGTGCATGCGTTCTGTTCTAAGCCAGGTGGTGACGATGTCTTACCTCATTGGCTGGGGTCAGACTCCGTGGTCTCAGTCCAGTTGGCTAGTCTGAAAAGAATCGGCACACGGAAGTTGGGGGAGGGGAAAGGGTCGCTGCTCCAAGGAAAAGAGGGTCGCTGCTCTATGCCATCAACTTCCTGGAAGAGAGCAAGGGGCCCTTGTGTAAACAAGGATTTTACTAGGTGGAGAGGATTAGAACATTTACATAACGGTCTTCTAAGCTGGGGAAGATAAAAAAAGATTTTCATTCCTGTTCTTATATTATTTGATAGAAAAGACCCCTATGTGGTATTTTTACATTATGATCTAATGCATTGTGTTCATGTATGAATTTCTCAAGGAATGAAAAAACAGCAGCAAACCTTGCATCCGCTGAACACACGACGACGGCACAGGGTCTACATTCCCATCCCCAAAGGGCCGGATGGGAGGAGCATAGAGAGAAGGACTGGATCCAAAGCAAAACCCACCCCAGCGGCTCCGGCCTTAGGTCCCTCAGCTCCATGTGAGGCACGTGGCATGATGGGAGTCCAAAGGGCCTGAGCATTTCCACTCTTACGGCTTTGCTGGTTCCAGTCTACATGGACTCTCCTGGGCTACCTGCTCATTGCCTGCGGCTTCCTTCAGTGTTCTGGGCTGGTAGAGCTCAAGTGTCGCCCTCACAGCTTTATGCATCCTCCCAGGGCCTCCCCGTGGGGTTCCCCACTTACCAAGTACTGCCTTCCCAGGCTCGCCTTTGAGATCTGACTGAATACCTCCAGGACCCTAGAAGCCTTGCATTCTGTATGTTTGAAAGGTCAACACCCCATGGACACCAAAGTTTTCATCTTCTTGACCCAGAACCCCTTTCACGGCTACAAAGGTCTCTGGGTGTCTGCATGGCTGAGTTCTAAGGAATAGTAGCTTACCAGCCCTTTACATTTTTGAGTCTGGGAAGGGTGAGGTCTGCCCAGTTCCTAAGGTGGCGTGAAGGTATCTTTCCTGATGTCACAATATGAATATTAGATTTCTCTTTAATGACAGCACTATCTACGGTAGCCACAACTTTCTTGGCCTCAGCTTCCCAGGAGCTCCATACCCTGATTCTCACTGAAACTCACAGCTAGAGACGTTTGGATCCAGGCTTGGCTGGCTCTGTCTTGTTTCTGTGTCTGTGGAGAGGCACGCAATAATGGTGGGAGGGCCTGGTGGAACAAGGCTACTTGTTCCATACTAAAGAGATGCTGGGAGTCGCTAGGCACCCATGTCCCCTTCAAAGGCATTCGTTCAACCACCAGGCCCCACCTCCTCAGAGTCCACTTGCCTATGAACTCACAGTAGGCAAACCCATTGAGGAAGATAACACCTTCCCAATCCAATCACATCTCCACAAGCTCACCAGCTGGGGACCAAACTGTCAGCCCAAGAGACTATGTGACGGACATAATGAGAAGACAGCCTCGTATAAGCCAAGAAAAGGGAGTCTTGGGATAACCTCAAGGCAGCTGACACTGTCAGCACCTGACATTGTGAGGACATAATGACACTGGGAGCATAGACTTCTAGCTTCCGGAAATGTGAAAAATATAAATACCTGTTTCTCAAGCCCCCGGTTGTAGATTTTTTTTTTTCTAATGGTAGCCTGAGCTGACTAGTAGTGTTCAAAGTAAGTTTTGTCAACTCCAGTTCAGTCATCCTTTTATGTTTCTCCCTTGCCTCAGCCCCTAGGTCTACCTTTAATATATGTTCCTTACAAAGAGATTTTCTTTCTAGTCTAACGCCTGTAGGAAGGAAATGTGAAATACTGACATTTAACAGGATTCTTTTTCAGCTGCATCACACTGTTCGAAGTGAAGGGTTTTTGTTGAGTCTTGGAAAAGCTGATGGGGAAAATCCATAAATGGAGTTGATGGTCCTGTCACTGGTATTGGTAGAGAACCACCTTGCCGACGAGTTAGTGCCAAAAACGTCTGCGTGGACTCACTGATTTCCTTTCGTGATGACTGTCTGGATTTAAAACAGGCCCCTTTAAGTTGACAGCCCAGCCTGGAGGGTCTCACAGAAACAGTACTGTGAGGAGTTTCTTCAAGAGGGACCGTCCTCAAGGGGTGATGAATTCGCGGAAGGCAACCAGATGGGCAGGAGGAGACCGCACAGAGAAAGAAGAGAAATGAGGAGCAAGCAGGCGCTCTAGGCCACTTACTGGTCAGCAGTGCCTTGTTAGAGCTTTAAAATCGTATGAGGTGTTGAGTCTAGGTTCCTTTAAAAACAACAACAAAAACCAAACCCTATTTGAGACAGGGCTGCCCTATGTGCTCAAGTCTGGTCTTGAACTTCTGGGCACAAGCAATCTTTCTGCTTCAACCTCCCAGGTAGCTGGGACTATAAGCATGCCCCTTCAGACTAGCTTCAATACCAGTGTTTTTGTTGTTGTTATTGTGTGTGTGTGTGTGTGTTTCTTATCCTTTGTAGCACTGGGAGTCACAGCTGGAGTGTCACAGATCCTAAATTAGCACTCAACCTCGGAGTTAAACACCACGCCCTTATTTTTTTGAGACAAGGTCTTGCCATAGCTTAGGTTGGACTCGAACTCATGATCTTCACGCCCCTCCTTTCTGACTGCTGAGCTTACAGGCATGGGTAAACATGACAGGTTCCAATTTTAGAGGAGTTGAAGATGGGGTCTGAGTCTAATTTATTCACTTGCGACTGAATCTAATTTAGCTGTTTGTCTCGTCTCTAATCAAGGCAGCGAAAGTAACTTAAATACACCAGTGCTCATGTGCGTGTTAAGTTACCATAAAACACAAATAAGAAAAAGATTTCTCACTGCAGAAGACACTTCTTGATACATATGTGTGTGTGAATGTATAAATGTGAATTTTCTCTCTGTAACATTTATTTATACATGTTTATTTATATATAATATTTGGAATTTGCCTTAATAATTTCTTAGACAAGAATTTTCTTCCTAGTAAAACAAGTATTGCCGTTAGTAAACAGTCTCGCAGACCCCACTCGTGGGAAAGCAAAATCAGAATTCAGGAATGGTTGCTCTGATGTCCTTTTCACCAGACCACAAGTCCCTTCCTGCCAGAGAGGCTAAATGATGGTACGTTCCTGCTGAGTGCCTTCACATGTCTGGAGAGTCGGGGCCTCATCACTGCCCCAGAATATAAATGAATTTTCTTCCACCAAAGGACACCAGAAACAGATGTTCCTCCTTGCCTTCTTCAACTATAAAACACTTTTGTTGTTTTTACAAAGGATCTATAGTCATATTTTAAAGGAACCTTCATTCCCTTGGGGGCAAGAGGATTAATATTTAGTAGGTGGGGATGTTTGTTATGATTTTTGCATATGTTGTCTCTTTGCCTTCTCAAAACAACCCTTTGAGGAGGAACCGCTGGGTGAATTTAAAGATGGGCAAACAGACTTGGGAGGGTTGCTGAGCCTCTCTGGGCCACAGAGAGAGTTAGTAGGTAGCCAGATCTCAATAGTCTGGGTCAGTAACCTGGCACAGGCCTTTATTCCACCTCATTTGCTGTTTCTCAGAGCCCATGTCTTTGTCTCCTGAGACTACTGTGGCGTATTACCACAGTTAGGTGCTCTGTAGGAGACGGGAATGTATTTCATCGTTTAGAGGCTGGGAAATCCAATCAAGGCACTAGCAGCTTTGGAGTCTGGTGAGGTCTTCCTCCTGGTTCCCTGGTGGCCTTTTTCTAGCTGTCTTCTCAAATGACATAAGGGACAAGGCATGCTCTGTGGTCTCTTTTTTAAGGACACCCATCCTACTCTCAAGGTGCCACCCTTATTATATAATTACCCCCCCACACACCAGTGTCCCCACCTCCGAATGCCATCACATTAGAGATTAGGTTTCATTATAGAACGTTCAGAGGCGCAGCATTTGGCTTATTGATGTCCCCAGGATGACCCTTAGGATCTAAGCATAATCCGTACTAATTAAATCACCTTTAAGTTTGTTTACTAACATATCGCAAAAGATTGGCTGCGGAATTTTTCATCAGCTTTGGAGGAAATATGCAAGATAATAAAGATTTAATATTTTCAAAATTTAAATTCATTTATTTTGCATCCTGGTTGCAGTTTCCCCTCCCCTGTCTCCTCCCAGCCTCTCCCTGTACCCCTCCACACTCCACCCTTCCACCCCCCAACTCCCTCACTCCCCTACCCCGTTTCCAAGCCCCCTCCATTTCTGTCTAGGAAAGGACAGTTCTTCCATGAGTATTAACAGAACATGGCATATCAAGTCGCAGTAAGACTAAGCACCTCCCCATGTAGTAAGACTGGGCAAGGCGACCCAGCATGACGAGCAGGGTCCCAAAAGCCAGTAAAAGAGTCAGAGACAGCCCCTGTTCCCACTATTAGGAGTCCAACCAAGAGCTTTTTTTTTTTTTTTTTTTTTTTTTTAAGACAGGGTTTCTCTGGTAGCTTTGGAGCCTTTCCTGGATCTCGCTCTGTAGACCAGGCTGGCCTTGAACTCACAGAGATCCGCCTGGCTCTGCCTCCCGAGTGCTGGGATTAAAGGCGTGCGCCACCACCGCCCGGCTGATAATATAGCTTTTAAAACTGACCCTATGGCACCTATCAACTTCATTTTGGAGGACTCTGAGGGTACCATAGACATGTCTTAGAGTAAAAGGGAAAAATGGGTCTTTTCTACAGCAAAGAGTGATATGTCTCCTGAAGTACATTTGGGGACCTACTAGGGGAAGGATGATGAGCAAGGTCAGTTGAGGTGGCTGCCACATTAGTTTAGGAAAGCAGCCCTTAAACAAAATCTTTTGTCCCTGATGACGTAACAGAAATGTGTTTTCTCACAGTTTCGGAGGCTTAGCAGCCCAGGTTCAAATGTCGGCAGCGCTGTTCTGTCTGAGACCTCCCCTTCGCTTGCAGATTGCTTCTTTCCCACTGGGTTCCTAAAGGCTCTGTCCTTCTGCACACTGATGCTTGCATGCAGCTCTTCTTTTAAGGACACGGGTCATCTTAAAGTCTACTTTTTTGACATCATTTTACCCGAGCTACCCTTTAAATATGGCCTTAGTCACTTTCTTGCTGATTCAGGCACTTGAGGAAGGAAGGATGTATTCTGTTTCAGAGTACAGCCGGTCATGTCGAGGAAGGCGTGGTGGTGGGAGCATCCCATGGCTGTAATGGCGGGAGGGTGAAGCAATTTGTTCACATCCCTGATGACCAGAAAGCAGAAAGAATGAATGTTGATGCTTAGCTGACTTTCTCTTCCCTACTGCTTACTCAGCTGGCGTTTCCCAGCCCGTAGGATGGGATTGCCCTTATTCAGGCTGAGTCTCCCCTCAGGTAAGCTTCTCTGGAAACTTACCAAAGACACACTTATAAGCATATCTCCTGGGTGTCTCCAAATATAATCAAGTTGACGCTGATAAGTAACAATGGAAAATTCCAGCTTCAAATAGTGTCACATTATAAGAGACTGGGGATTAGGACTTCAACATATAGGTTTGGGGTGGGGGAAGATATTTTTCATAACAGATGCCCCCCCCATACACACATAGAAAAGGAAATAGTCAAGCCATCCTTTAGAGCATGATACACTCTTGAGATAGCATGATAAGAACCAGGTCTTTCTCAGAAAGGAAAAGCCAACTCACCTAGGTGACATATTCGACTGCCAGTTCATCAGATGTCATCAACAGTTCCGTTTTTGATCCCCACGTGAACTTATGCTAAAGAATCTAGTGGCAGTTTAATGTCTGAAGTTGACTGCTACCCAGGTGGTGCTGAGGTCTACACTATTCAAAGGGCAAGTCCTCAGAAACCGCACATTAAGCCTCAGCATTCCCAGAGTTTCCATAAATGAAACAGCATCTGGGCCTCAGCTAATACTTAAAACATATCCGAGGAGTTTACAACAGTGATTTCAGTTTGATGTGGTAAGGTAAATGTACATATATCCCTGGATATCAATGATTGCCTTCAGTTACTTCTTTTTTTTAATCCCCAAGGTTTACTATAATTATCTTTGACTAGGAGCAAACCACAAAGCTAACATCTCAAATTATAGGTATTAATGTTTAATTGATGCGTTCCTCGTATGGAGGCTAATATGGAAGGATCCAGGGTAAATAACAGCAATATGCAGCTCGCTGCAATTCAAAGTGCAAAATAATTAGAGAACTTCATTACAGATTTGAAAACCAACCAGATTATGTGTTGGTGATGTCAATGAAAATGTGATATGTGCTGTTTTAAAATTTCCAGAAACATCAAAAAGTTAAAAAAAAGTAACACGTGAATCCAAGATACAATGTTTACATATATGAAATTTTATATTCATTGTATCGGCTCATTTTCAATCTTGTTCCTTGATCCTTGTTTAGATTTCATAAAACTAATGAGTAGAAAAATAGATTCATGAAATGTTTTTCAGAACGTAAAAGCTTTTCTAATAGCTGAATGGATTGGTTTTTAAATT